GAGGTGTTCGAGCTCCCTGCATCATGAATGGAGAGCGCACCCATTCTTCGTCCCCTCCGCTGGCCTTCTGCTGGACGGAGTGCCCAGGGCCTGGGAGTGAAGAACCAGGATTCCTGTCTCTGGAGCCCCTCCTGCTCCTTGCCTGTCAGCGGCCGAGGGCTTGGGACCATTTGGGACTAGGCCTCACTGCTTCCTGGGACGTAAGGTGGTTCAACCTTTCCCCCAGAGACCCACCGGTCACTTGGCTGACCCTGACACTGGGCTGGGCCCAAATGTCGGCCGCACCAGCCGTTTCTGGGGGAGACCGTGCCCGGGCAGGATAGAAGGCAGTCGCCGATGCACTGGGCCGGGCCTGTGAGGGCCCCAACCATCCCCATATCTTTTCCGGTTTGGCCTCACTGCCCACTTAGACTTCTTCCTGCCACTACCAAGCAATTTGCCACCTGCCGCCTGGCCACCCAGGCCTCTGGCTGTGGCCATGCCATCGGTTGGGTTACGCTGCCAGCCCAAGCCGGCCCTGGCCCAGAGCCTAAGGGGACTGCAGGTCCTTGAGGCCCCTCCCAGGAGGCCCTCCCCGCACCCGGCCGGCCCGTGCTGCAGCCTGGAGGCTGGAGCGCCCTGCCAGGAGATCGGATCCTCTCGGCCACCTGCTGTTTTCATTAGAAACTAAAATTAGCTGGGCTTGTCCCAAGCTTTTCCAGGTTTGCTTGCTTTTTTAAAAAAATATACAAATTCCTAGAGGAGAACCCTCCCCTCTCCGACCCTCCCCTCGCGTCCCATCCCGGGGAGAGGGGACGGGAAATAGCCGGAGCATTTGGGAGGCCAAGCAGGTCAGTGTCGCAGGTCCTGGCCAGAGGGTGTCCAGGTGGGGGCTGGGACGCTGGCCCAGGCCTCTCTGCCCCCTCCTGCTGGCCTCCCCCCCTGCCCGGGCCACATTTAGAGCCTGCTCAGGAGCACTGGTGCCTGCGATACCAGCAGGGAAGGAGGCCAGGGGTGCGAAGGGGGAGCAGGAAGGAAGTGGGTGTCTACCCAGCAGGAGCCGCCCCAGGGGCTGAATCAAGACCTCTGCGTTCAAGACTGGGAACTGGTCCCCCAGGGCACAGGCCACGGCCACTCACCCTGAGTGGTTCTCTCAGACTGTGCTGCTGGCCTCCCCCCAGGACCCCTCGGAGTGTCGTCCCCTCAGCCTGGTGCACTGCGAAGCTGTGTCAGAATCCCATTCCTGCCATGCCTGGCTGTGTGGCATCTCTGAGCCTGGGTTCCTCTGCCAGATGGGGTGGGAACAGTTCTCACCTCAGGAGGATACAACACAACTTACATCTAGAAACACAAGAGGAGCCCTAGGCACAACCAGCGGTACACTGCTAACTGCAAGGCCAGCAGTTCAAACGGACCAGCCACTCTGACGGAGAAAGATGAGGCTGTCTGCTCCTGTAAAGATTTATTGCCTTGGCATCAGAAGACCCC